CAATACTAATTAAGAAAAGAACATTATTTTTTGATATTAACATTTCTATAAGTGTTTTAAAAAATATATCTGTTCATATAAAATAAATTAATGTGAGATTAAACACGTACTGGAAGAAATAATCTTTTTTACTATTTTTAACAAGATTCAGAAACATTATCTGAAAGTAATGATGACATTGCGATAAATTATCATTGTACCTGTTTAGACTGTCATAAACAAAATTTCAACGGATTAGGTTAAGAAAAACAAAGAGAATTTAAATAGCTTGGAACATGACCGTTTTTTATGAAGACATAACAGACTGACAACGAAAGTACGAACTAAGAAGTGAAGCATAGCGAATTTCATTTATTAATGGAAAAATATTTTTATTTTGTACGCAAATATACGTAACAACTAATTTCGTTTTTACCTGTTACTTACATTTCTCAAAGTTATGATTTTTATTGAAATGTGTTTGAGTGTAAATACTAGAATGAATAGAAACCTGTTTTTAACATAGTACGATCTATTTGTTAGAAGAAATATAACTTCTCGTTATTAAGAATACAGTCACTACTATAGGGTGATCAGATTAATATGCAATCCACTTATGGGCAAAAAATACAAATCTGACAACACTGTGAGCTAGCGATTTGGTTTAACGGTCTTGTTAGCAGTTAAAGTTTATGTAGAGACACCTAACGGAATCATTCGTATTATCACCCGCGTGATTTTAATTGTGTTTTAATATGTGTCACTTGTATAGAGTTAAATCGAATTAAAACATTGGCTTTAACAAGTAATTTTTTAAATGTACTGTAAAGACTACCATTGCTCGCGTACAGTGTTGTCAGATCTTGAGTTTTACTCATAAGGAAGTTACGGGTTAATCTGATCACCCTATGTGTGAAATAAATAATAAAAGTTAAATGTAGTAATAACAACATAATTTTGTCAATTCTCAATTATAATGATCTAAACACAATATCTTAACAAATGAAATCAGTTTGGATTTATATAATATAATAAATCTGAATTGATGTAAGTATAGATAGGGGAAAATGTTTTAAATTCGTTTTTGTAGCGAAGAGACATTATATTACAATTGATTCAACAATACATAACACGAAATATATTGATCTATAAATATATGTATTTTCTAAGACCGTGACCTACTGTAGAACTGAAAGAAATCATGCGATATAATAAAGGCCTGATTGGTTGCAAGGTGCATGTATTTTTGCTATTGGTCGAGGTACAATGCCAACGAATCAGATTATATGTCTCTTGCAGTTTTGCCCTGGGTAATGAAGATGGCAGTGTCAACATACATGAGATGTTTTATCTGTCACGTGTATGTAGTTGTATTCAATATTCTATTTACCCGAATTTTGAACTCTAAGTGTACAAAATTTGAAAGCAAATAAATTTTATACAATAAGGCAATATAAAATATTATTTTTTGTTTTATATTAAGTTCTTTAACGTACATGTTGTTTTCATGTACTAATATTTAACATAATTGTTGCTTTATTCTCACGTGTCCTACACATTTTTGTACATTTTTCATATACTTTGAATGTCATGTTTACACTGTTAAAAACACGAATGTAACATTATACGTAGTTTGTGCACGTTTGGATATCGCGCTAATATCATACATAGAAAATTATGACATAGATGGGGATTCTATTTTAAATATTGAATGTTGCGAAACAGGAGAGAAGTGAACAACTATTGGCAATTGCGAGTTCTTTGTAAAAGTAAAAATGCAAATAAATGGTAACGTTACAGTAAATGATGCTTGAAAACTTTAGAAAAGTGTAATACTTTTTATTCGTGTTTTATCTGATGTACAATTATGTCATCTATCTTAGGCGCATAGTTTATGATTTACCCCTACTTACATGAGAATTGAACAAACGGACAGGCGGCAGCCATATTATTAGTGAGGTGTCAGTATTGTCTGAACGTGACGGGATTTTTGGGTGTGGAACATACAATTTCCTGTGGTTTTTTGCCGCGGTTATAGTGCAAGTGCCACCAGTCTACCGTGAATGTGTGGCACATGTGTTGTAGGATACGTATCTTATAAACACGATAATGTAAGTCCCACAGAATGAATTGTTGCTTAGTACTAAAATGGTATCTTCTAAAATATTTTACAGATTCTAAAACAGATTATTTTTATAACCAATATAGAAATATCACTTGTCTTAATAACATTACACCCTTTCATGACGTTATTTATGTTTGCTTTTTTTTTTTTGTAAATCTAACCTTTCGTTTACTAACCCACATAAAAATGATTAAATAATAAATCAAGTTAACACATTTTTAATATATGTACATAAATATATATATATATATATATATATATCTTCCCTCATATTTAATACCTTCATGTCATAAATTATATTCATGCTATCATGATTGTAACTTCATTCATCAGAAGTGATGTTCTTTCGTATTCAATCTTTTTTATACTACAGCCGGATATGTTCTATGAAAAACAAACGTCGCAAAAGTTTGCATAAGCAATTGAACGTTTTATAATGTGTTAATTTAAGCAGTGTTACGATCTAAGTATAATAGGAAATACCAAGAACTTGAAGATTTTAGTAACAGTGTTCCCTTAAAGTAAATTGAGCTGAAGACAGGATATACGTTTGTATTTCTGTTAATTCTACGCATTTTTAGTTACGCTCAGCGATTAGTTATAACAACGCCCACACGTAGCAGCCAATAGAATTTAATAGACAAATTAACGTGTATTCGTTAATAAATCGACTGGTGTTTATTTCATCAATCATTGTGTCAAATTAAGCTTAACGACCGAACATGATTTACCGTCGAAACTGTGTACTAAGCGTCAATGAATAACCTTGAAAGACATTTCGTGCCACGAATCCTTTTTTATCACATTCTTTCGAGTACGGGAAGATTTCTAACGTACGACATCTCGTATATGTACATTTTTTTTTATATTTCTCTTCTTTTCACGCGGATTTGTTATTACGGTTGAATTGAAAACAGTTTGAATTCTTGAATTAATTGACAGAGTTTAATATGTGACCAACAACAAATATTTTAGACTTCGGACACTGATAGTAGAAAATGGAAACTTTATTAATAGATGTATTCTATCTTCGTATCTTGCATAAAGTTGGACAGATAGACAGCATATTTACCGTAGTTGACAAAAATTAGGAGATACCGACGGTTCAACGGACGCAGAGGTCCTAGATAAATGGGAATGCCAGATCCCGTGTGCAGGCACTCCTTTCTGTCAGCGGATGTCGGTCACGCGGATTTACATTATAACCTGTCTCTTCTTTCAATATGGAGACGTGCAAACAGTTTTTCAATGTATATGTGTCACTTTTGAAAATAAAAAGTAATAATTAATAAATCGATGTTAATTAACATCATACTCTGCGGAACTGACGCGTCTTTCTGCGGTGAATTTTTTCGTATACCATAGATTAGATAATTCTACTCAAGATATATTGTAGATTAAAGAACGATTTTGTTTCTGATAATTCTAATCGCAGTTTAATTTGCGATATAAATCTTGGAAATGAAATAATAGTCTTGTGCATTGTGGTCAAAATGGAATTCAAATGAAGAGCCAATCGAATTTGTAATTGAACGAACACACACACAATAATGTTTTAGGAAATAAAATTAATAAAAAGTATACATTAAATTCCAACGTTCAATGTTTTATTATTATTAAAATTACTAATAAGTTAACATTTCTGATTTCTAAAATATGTCAATTGCTGCTAGTAATTCATAGTGTGTATGTACTTCCTAAGAAAAAGAGTCTTCAGTGTAAAGATTTAAACATTATAAGTTTTTTGATATTGATCTTGTCTTTCCTGTTAACGCTAGATTTGCGGAACACTAAAAACAGCTGTTTAATATTAGTTTATAAGTAACAATAGGATATTTATTCCGATTTTTAACGAGTGTTATTGTAGTACATAAATTAGTGACCCGTCATTTTGACGACTTCCGTAAATCTACTACCCTCTTAGATATCAAAGTTAATTATAAGATCTGCTTCCTAGTTAACATTTTTTCACGTTTTGCACTATTCTATTTACATCACTTTTATATTCATTACCGATATCTTCATCTTGTTTATTCTATTTTGTATCTCTTTTGTCATTGCTTTAATTTGTGCTTTTTTTAGTATTTTGCCAGTTTTCAATTCTTGTCTTGTTTCATGCATACACTTCTTCATCGTCCTTGTATTTTTATGTAACAGTCATTTGTTAGTCTTTTCTCTTCTCAATTTTTCTGTTTGAGTAATTTTTCCCATAGTTGCCGCCAACTTCCTGACGCTTACCATATTCTTTCAGTAATCGTTATTCCCTCTAAAAATTGTTTATAACGAAATTAATTAGCTTCGTACATTTTACGTAATGTTGCTGTTCGTTGGAATTTGATTTCCAACAAGAAAAAGCTGTTATTGATATGAAAATTAATAAAAATTTCTGAAAAGGGAGAAATTTGATTTTCATGTTTTTCCCATAAAAATATTTTCCCAGAAGTTTATATGAATGTTTTTTACTTGCGATTTTCGGTTTACGAATTACAAACACACGGACAAGAAAATTACTAAGACAAGGATAGCTTTTCTCTTGAAGTACAAAAGTAGTATCAATCATTCAGGACAGTTGGTTGATTCGATAAACAATTATGCGAAGTTGTGCAACAATCGACAGTGTTTCATATATGACCAACGGTTATTCTCACATACCACCTACACCTACCCAAGTTCCAATGAATATTTAGTGTTAAAAAAAATGTATTCTCTTAATAAAAATAGAATTGTTATATAAAATTTTAATAATAATAATAATAATAATAATAATAATTAATAATCCAAAACAAAGTAAAGATTCATTTTATCACAAGACGAAATCCATATACAGAATATTCGGCAACAGGTGGTAAAGTCTTCTAGGGGGATGGTCGTTAAAATGACGATATAGACAAAAATTAATATAAGGGTAGAATCATTCCGTACACTTTTATTTCAATCTGTTGTCGAACCGTTTGTATATGTATATTTACATTACCCTGATTATTACTCTTTCGATAAAAATTATGAGTGCAATATTCATTTGAAACATGCAATATTCATATTAAAAATTCATCTGGTTATAGTCATTATACATTCGAATGAACGTTAAAATAATATAATTGGCATATTTGAAAGGCAGCTTTATCATTTTGATTTAGTAATGTCTGTAATTATAGTACTTAAATAATAATAAATAAGTTTTACTAGTTGCATGTAATTTTCGTTTCAGACGGATAGTTTTACTGTTTAGCAAGAGAAACTAAGCAGCCACAATGCGGAAATCGGTATGTATATTTTTATAATTAATTTTTATTTTGTGTTTTAAGTTGATAAGCACTTGGAGAAAATAAACCTATATACAATTATATCCATGATAAGTAATACAAATACGGTAACTCTATTGTTTTAATTTACGTTCAGTGATACTAATAACAATAATGCATAATAAAAACTCGGTAATATTCAATTTGTTTTTAATATTTAATCGATATATGTTACGTTGAAATTAGCGATACTAATTTCATAAACATTGTTTTGAGTAATATATATTTACCGAACTGTATGTAGTTATCACAAATAACGTGTAGTGATAAGATATTTATAAACACATATATCGTTTGATGTTAAGAAGAATGTTTATATTATTCGTAGTCTTTGTAGAATAATTCAGAATGGTTGAATAAAATAATAATGTACTTTTACGTTCAAAACTGTACAGGACTAATATTATTGAATTCTTTGACAATCGCATCTATGGGATAAACATTTACGCTAAAATCTCATAAATCAGTGCACGCTTGAACAGTGTTTTCTCTAATTTCAACATTAACGAGCATTTGATTCCCCCAACGAATTATCGAAAAACGTGTATGCACAGGCATTCGCTGGCCAGTACATAATTGTATTAACTGGTCGTGCCCCCTATGGGAGAATTTTTGAAAGATTTTCAAATGAATTCGCATCGACGCTCCCCTCGTAACGGTTTCCGGAAATTCAGAAGCGGGGTACACAAACGATATGTTGAGATGTCTGTTTTATTGGAGTTCTGTTGACAATATTCGACATAATCGTGCCTAATATACGTTCGAAAACGTAGGCCGTGTTAACGGAACCGTTGCTTCCTTCCGCACACCCGGTATTTTCGCCGAACGCTGATTGGCCACGGTTAGACGCACCGGCTTCCTCACGTGACCACGTCCTGTTTCTCTTTCTCCATATCACTGGATAGAACAGCAAATCTAACAAAGAAGGGGAACCGATGCAATGCTTGCGAGCGAGACAGAGAGGTGGGGCGAAAGACGCTGGCGAGGCGACTGCACTTGCCCCCTTAGCGCATTGTCCATCTCGAGACCGGCAGACGTTAACAGTCGCATCTTGTTCGAACGATCGGTTTAATTAACATTTTGAAACTTCCCAGTGCGCCGCAAGGATCACTTTGTGCCGAGAGTGCTTTATAGACGTGCCTTACCTTATACCGTGTTAAACTAATTGATCTCTCGTTCGACCGTTCGTTCGTATTCGCGTGTAGTTTAACGTAGCAGCCATGGTTGCTGGCAATAAAATGGTAAGCGTGCATCGACATTTTTTTTTTTAACGGATCACCGAAGAAATTCCATTGCGATCATATTGTACAGTGTGCTATTTTATTTGGGAAATCAGTTTGTGAAACACGTTCGAAACGATCTGCAGCTGGGTGATATAGTTTTTTGATTTTCGTTTCTTGTTTCGCATGCAAAGATGAACGTCAGGGTAACGACGATGGACGCCGAACTGGAGTTCGCGATCCAGCAGACGACCACCGGGAAGCAACTCTTTGACCAGGTTGTGAAAACGATCGGACTACGTGAGGTGTGGTTTTTCGGGCTACAGTACACCGACAGTAAAGGAGATCTAACATGGATCAAGCTCTACAAAAAGGTAGGATAACTTGTTATCGAGTATATTTATTAACCTGCAATTTATTTAACCATCCCGACCACTAGAAACTGACGATTTAAAAGCATTTGTAATCGCTTTCGAAGTATCGTACCGCTTTATTTAGACATATATGTAGTCGCTTCCGAAGTATTGTATGCTTTATCTAAACATTGGAAAGAGTATCAAGACTTTGTAGTATTAGATCGAATAATATTTAACTTTAAAACTTAGGATGAAACTTGTTTTCAAATCATTTCGATATTGTAAGCTTGAATCATTCAAATATCAAATTAAACAATGTATTCAGAGTACAGTTACTGACATCTTTTTTAGCGATTTAATAAAAATTGTTAATTTCTTGTATTTAAATATTTGTTACATACACGGACAATAACTTTTAGGTTCAGTTTCACTCGAAGTTTACTTTTTTCTTAAGGAGGTTTTCGTTTCAATAATACAAAAATATAACTACTCCGATCCGTTAAAATTTCTGCAAAGAAAAATGTTATTTTTTGTAACTGTTGTTACTTTCGCAAAATAAACACTATACGTATTGTATTTCTCGCCTGGTTATTACTGTAACAAATAGTCGAAGCGAGTTTCCTGCGACTGGATCGAAGTAGATCCGGTAGAGCAAGGGTTAACATTTTAGGACGAAACAAATTCAGACATTAATTTGTCTATATATTGCGGTGTTTCTAATTTATCGTATTTTCTACTGCTTGCACATTGTGAGAAAGGATCTGAGGACTCACACGGTTATTTAAAAAAAAATAGAAGTCTTCAATGTTTTAATAAAAAAAGGCACATTGAAATGATTTCTAAGCGTCTCCGTTTGGACAATATAAATGTATGCATCTGTAAGTACTGTTTGAAAAATTGTATCATTTGAAAATTTTGAAAAGTCGAACAGTTCTTGCTTTCGGAATAAAAATATTACAAAACATAAATCACGATTTTTTGCAGTGTGCATGTAATTAAAAAATGTTACTGAATGCAAGACAAGTGCAATGTTTCGCGAAGTTATACAAATTGGTATTTTGTATTAATCGATGTTCGCGTCCATTGCGTCAATAGTTAATTAATTTCTTGAATTTGCACATTTACGTAAACTCCGTAAGAACGTGACTGTTTTAAAAAGGTAAAAAAATATCTTACGAGTTACTTGTCAGACAGGCAATTGTTGTTTTTGCATTGCCGTTATCATTTCAAAGATGTTATTTGCTTTCGACCGATTTTCGTGTACCGGGTTTCGATACCCCAGTCGAAGTACAGTTACGAGGAGGTAGATACGCCATCTACTTTCACCGTGTGGATGATGTAGACGCGCCTTCACCTTGACACAGTCGCTTGTGTACTTTCATTGTCTTGTCGTTCTCCTCTTTTTCGAATTGCTCGTATCTGTGATTTTCGTTTATTTTTTTTTTTATTTAGTCAAACGATTTTACCCTAACGTAACAATTAAATTGTTGCAAGATAAATGAAAGAAATTGATCACAGAAATTGATCTAAAAACCTTTCGATGGTATTACTCTTATTTTGAAATTTCATCGAAATCGGGAAAGTTTTACTCAGCGTATAATTGACTAATTTACGTGTTAACGTTTGTTTAGAAACGTTACAAACTATGTATGTATATAGCTTGTTCCTGACTATAATTATGATATAGATATTTGCGTAAATGGTTTGAGCTTTTATTTGTTTTATTTTGTTCAGCGTTTTAACAGAAGTAGAGATTAGATAAAGTAATTATGTTATCTGCAACTGTGCGTATGTATATGCACATGACGTGCGCCGTATTTATATAAGTAACGCACCGAACAAGTTAGCAAATGTTAATTACATTCGATATAGTACAATGCAGATGATGAAGGGTTATTCATTTAACTCGGAACCCCGGTGCTCGAAAACAAGCGTGACGGCAACAGCGCATTGTACATGGATGCTACCGCGTTTATGCAACATCATCGAGCTCGAAATTTTTTAAATTCATTGAATACCAGAGACGCAGGATTTATTGTCGGCAATGAGCTTTGCACGAAGCTTTCTTCAGACTTTTCTTAGAATTCGTGGCATTTTCTGATTTATAGCGTATCGAGACGCGTTTCGAACATAGGAACATTTTTAATGGATTTATAATATTTATTTATTATTTTATATTATAAATTTCAGCATTTCTGTTGTTCTCTAAAATATTATGTCAGGCAAAGCGTGCATCGTCTAACGCTAGGAATAACATTTCAAATTCCCTTTCTCGAACCAGTAAATTTATCGTAAACAATTCATCGATCGAAACTGTTTTCTTTCCCAACTTGCCATGAATGAGAGAGGATTACAGTGACTGGGTCAGTACTGAAAAGTTTCGCTCAAATCTCGCCAACGAACGAAACGAATCTCACCAATGACGTTGCACGTGTGTAGTAGTATCATCATTCGTGCATGTCGCGTTGTTGCTGTTCGCATTTGTTCCTCGCGCATGTTCCGAATAAAGGACTCGGATTCATCTAGGCATCGATCAAAGTAGGACATACATACATCTTAGAATTGTTATCATGTATTTTATCATGGTACTTTTATCGTGTAACTATTGTTATCACGTTAAAGTATACATTGTATAGTTCCAACAAGTAATTTCTGAAAATTTCATTGAAAAATTTCCAACGTGTTGGTTCGGACGAAGCAACAGCTCGAAAACACAACCGTTTCAAAATCTCTAGAAATCGCTGTTCCGTCTAATTTTTCAATAAAATTTTCCTGGAAGATGCTTTGGTAGTCTCTGTTTCTATAAACTTATCTTTGTAACCCTGTATAATAGTCACGTATAGTTTGACTGCCCCGAGATCGGAACCATGAAGCGCTTGCGCAAGAATTCACGCGACTCGCCAGGAAATCCCGTGGATCCCTCTCCCAGCTATGTCAGGCTGTTACTGACCACCATGATTGACGGTAAATCTTCAACGAAGAGTTAATTAATTTCGGCGGTGTTCCTTTCCGTTGGACTTCCTTATTTTTTTACGGCACGCTCTGTCTGGCGTTTCCTACTGATCCTTGACTTGGCCGGCCAGACTATACCCAGTTTTATCGTACCGCTAGATTCCAAGACCAAAGAATGAAGCGACACATTGTTTATCAGTGACGAAGTCCATTATCACCATGAAGAAACGTTCGAGCAAAAATTAATATTATATTGTTACAAAATTTTGGGAATGGCGTTTCTCATTGATAGTACATACATACTTTTATTTAAGTATTTTTCTGTAGAAACGATTTCGCACAATTATTCGTTTTTAGCTAACGAATTGTTCGTGTTACGTATTCTGATATTTTTCTTAATCTAACGATGGTTAAATATCGAAGTATCATTACGCTGAATTTATGCGATGTCGTGATATTTCATGACGCAAGTTTTCAATACATGTTTCACAAATAAAAACTTATCATTAGCCGTGCTTGTACGTCACTAGGAAAACCGCAGCGTCGCGTAGCTGCAATAATAAATTATGCGTAATCGTCGGATTTCTAACGATTCACGCTATTGAAATATATTTGAAAAACGTCATAGTTTTATTTACATATTTTTTTTTTCTTCATTCGGAACGCGTGCGCCATCGACGGTTCACGTTCTAGACTAACAAATAATAATTAAAAAGAGAGAGAGAGAGAGAGAGAGAGAGAGAGAGAGAAGGGTAAAGAGAACAGTAGGAGTTGGAAATCGTCTTTAGCGCTCCTTCAACTATTTACTATGAGCAAGTACTTCCTTGTACATGTTTCGACGAATGCTAACGAAATTTTTGTTATTCCCCTGTTTCGAAATGGCTGCGGCGAAGCGGTCGAGGCGCAGCATCTGTTTTCCTGGAACTTGCAGTAATAATAAGTGTCGTAAATTTCTCGAACGAGAAACCAATTCTTTCCTGAATGCACGTTAAAATAGTTCGAGAAGAACGCGTCGGGTAGTTTTGAAGTACAGTAATGTCTCCCTAACTGATCCACAAAAATGGACAATTTGGGAAGAGGAGATACGATTATTCGAGCCTTGTAGCCCGTCTTTTATAGTTGTTGGCAATTCGTAACTATAAAAACGAACCGCAAGGCTCGAATAATCGTGTCACCTCTTCCCAAATTGTCCATTTTTGTGGACAATCTGAGCGTCAGTTAGGGAGACATTACTGTATTGATTTGAACGGTACAGTAGCGACCAACACACACGTTCGAAGACAAAGAAGGTCAATTCACATTTCTTGAAACGATAAAGCGACTTCCAACTGCGACGGTTCTAATTGTGAACGCAAGAGAAACAATATGCAATATACATATAGGTACTCTAGAAATACATAGCAGATTATTCCGATAATAGATTATCAAAACCGCCGGAGCGGAAAGTCCAGATTGGTCGAGCCTCGGCAGCGATCACGCTAGCGAATAATTCAACTTCGATCCGAAACAATGTTTTCATGAAACCCGAAGAAAGTCCAATAGTTCCATGATCGCTCTCAAGTAGGTCACCTTGAACAAAGGTCTGCGCTACAGTAAGATGGCCGCTGATAAGCGGCGTAGTATACGTACACGAAGGTTTTTGCTGGCATAGAACTTCAGCAGGTGAATCATATTGTGGCGCAAGGACTTTCATTGACCGCTTGAACACGAATCGCGATTCCAGCTCGACGTAAACTTTCTATGCCGAGGCGTGCAACGGCAGCGCAATGATATTGCCAGCTCGTCCGCGGGGTACACGCGCATACATATGTATACGTATGCATGCATGTGCATGTACAGGGTGTCCCAAAAACTGTCTCGCAGTCCGGAAATGGCGGGTTCCTCGGATCGTTTGAAGCAACTTCTTCCTTTACAAAAATGTTCTCCGAGGCACCGTTAACGAGTTATCAACGAAAAACAGTGACCAATGAGAATCGAGTAAGGCTGACGCGAGGCGGCCCAGCTAACCAGCGTACGAAGCCCGGTTCCGCTCATTGGCTCGGTCGCCTCGCGCCAGTGAGCTCGCCTCTCATTGGTCGCTGTTTTTCGTTAATAACTCGTTAACGGTGCCTCGGAGAAAATTTTTCTAAAGAAAAAAGTTGCTTCAAATGACCCGAGGAACCCGCCACTTTCGGATTGCGAGACATTTTTGGGACACCCTGTATTTCTTTGACGACCTATCGCTCGATAAAACGGTACCGATCGTGCTTAGACAAATGTGTCGCTGATTTCACAAACCACTAGGCGATATCTCAGCCAGTACAGCCAGCTTGCATCCGGTTAGGTTAGTTGCTAGAGTTTGGTAGCCTTCTCCTTTTAACGACCGAACACGACTGTACATGCAGCAGGAAAACCCAATAGCGAGACGGGTGAAGAAAGAAGTGAAGAAGAAAGTTCGAAAGCTGAGAGGTCGTTCGGACTCCGATACCGACGATGATGAGTTCGAGGATGACCTGGTAAGTGGCGGGAGGCGGGATACGATATTTTTTCATTGGAAAAAACTAGCGTGTCTCGGGCACGAAAGAACGGCCGAGAGACCGTCGAAAATTATCGAAATCCACGCTACTTCTGTATACGGGGCCAAATCCTCTCGCGATAATGTCAGCGTTATTTCAGGCGGAAGACTCGAGTGACTCATCCTGGATATCATATACGCTCTCGGCGACAATACTGTACAGGACACACGCATAAAAGCATACTTCCTTTCGCGTACTATACGTCATGGTTAAATTCGAGGGAACTTTATTCAGCATCGTGGTGCAATTAATTTATTTGAGAATCGCGGAATTCGATGAGAACAGCACTGACAACTGAACCAAGGATTTTATGCATTTACGGTGAAAATTAATAACAAAGGACTAAGCTGTGACTTCTTGTACACGCAGATTTTAATGATACTTTGCACGAGCGTTCGTTGGACTTGTCTTGAGAATTTAACCGCGTTTCGTCCGTGCTCGTTTTTTTCTTTTTCTTTTTTTACTCTGCGTCGAAATGCCCGAGTGGTAAAAAAAGAGGAAACCGCGATTCAAATGTGTGATAAATTAGTGGTTATTTGGTGTTACGGTGTAGGAGAGTACGGGAAGCCGTAAGGAAAAAAATTATAGTTTCTTTGTATAAAGTAGAAATTGTACTTTTTCATTCGTACAAATTATTTAGCATAACTATACCGCGGATCTTTGTGCGAACTGAAAATGTTCCAAGTCGTTTCTAAGAAACGGAAATAATATAAAAATGTATTTTTTTTTCTAATAATTTTATTAAGTCGGGAAATAATATGACACGGCACTGAAATTGTTCTATTATCTTCAAGATTTCGTATTCTATCTGCATACATATATTTTGCCATAAATGCATAAATTCTGCAGTCTGTAGCAGTATGATTCTGCGGTCTTGTAATAACAATAATACCGCGGAGCGCACATAAATGTCAGTAGACGGAAGAACCGGTGTTAGGGGATGATTAAACGGCGCAGATTAGGATCAGGGGAAAAAAATGAAGCGCGAGCCGAGGAGAAATGAAAGATTCATGCGCAGCGATGCAATTAAAATGCAATTAATTCGAAGATAATATCGAGCAGATAAAGGAGATTTATTTCATGCGAAGTGGAGCACATTTCGTTCGCGTTTCGTCTTTTGAAACGGCACTCGTCGCCCGTGTTTTTTTCGGCGTCTGTTTACCCTCGGTTCGCCTCAGTTTGATCATGGTTCGTAAAGTAAGGCGTCGGCGTGCAAACATCTTCCAGAAATTATGCTCGTCCCGAAGAGGGAGAGAAAGAGACGTTGGTTCGCTCGCGCGAATTATCTTCGCGCTTTCAAGCGATACCGATGACGTAGCCCTCGTGTGTTGCACAAAGTAGATACACCGACCGCAAGAAGAAGATGCCGTTAATTGTACTTTGGAAGTAGTGCGCTCGATCTCGGCGCACGAACGTTGTTTCGAAACCGTATAGAGGAGAACTTTTAGGGTATTTCGCGCGATCACCGAAATTCACGGTGCTCGGATCTCGTTGTTCCGCTCGGATCTCTGCTCGACAGTCATCGGAAGGTTTACTCATTGTATGCTCGATGTTCCCCTTTTTTATCTAGACGAACAAATAACGTGTCGCACGGACGGTCAGGTATGATTTAACGTTCTAAGAATGTAGAAGCCGTATCGCGCTCTGCCGTGGCAGAGAGATGGCCGAGGCGAAGGGATTAGATACAACTGGAATAGCAATGAATTTCTTGAAAGTTTGTTAGAGCCTATAAATGGATTGCCGATTCACCCGTTTGTAAATAAACGACAGGAACCGACTCGTGCGCGGGCAGCAAAATTAATGTACAGGATTATCTAAATTCTAAAGCGTTAATTTCACCCGAGCATTTCGATCGTGCACGATCCTATTTTACAGCGATGTGAATTTAAAAAAGATGTACGTACAGTAATGTCTCCCTTATTGACGCTTAGATTGCGCACGAAAATGGACAATTTGGGGAGAGGAGACACGATTAATTCGAGTCTTGTTTTATAGTTACGAATTATCAACAACTATAAAAACGAGCCGCAAGGCTCGAATAATCGTGTCTCCTCTTCCCAAATTGTCCAATTTCGTGCACAATCTGAGCGTCAATTAGAGAGACATTACTGTATTTGGAACATCCTAGCTAGCCAAAGTTAAATCAATTTAGCAAGCAGTTTCTTTTGTGTCGCAATTACAATTAATAGGTTTCCGATTTCTAACATGAAATATTATTTACGATTGTCGATTTACCAATCGGTTAAACTTGTTGTTGCGATGATATAACGGGTACAGGTGGGTCGTGCGATCCAGGAAGATTTTGATTAGCCGAGAGACGCATCGGTCATCGGTAGACGGCGTGTTTGTAATGATTTCGTCAATTGCCGCCACACGATCGCCAGTGGATCGTGCAATCATCCACAATGACTTTAATACTTGCGACAAGGACTCGACAGCGGGTCTTATTACGCGAGAAATATTAGCCTATGAGAGGATTAGCCGTCGTTGGTTCGCACAGTTTTAATATGATGTGCAAAAAAAAAGAAGAAAAGATAACGAAAATATAAGAACAACGATTAATGAAAAATCTCGCGATTTCAATGATAAATATTTTTATCAACCGGCAACCACGGATAGCCGTGTTAATTTATATCGAAAGATTACAGAATCATCTCGAACGTCATTCGTTGGCACAGCGTAATAATGTGCGCCGAAAGTTTTCACCGCGAAGACGACAAACAGACCGTAAGAATATTTTCGTTATTGACGTAACGTTGAACCAAGTTATTTCGATTGAATCCGAGAACTTGAACGGTGCTCCATAATTTCGCGATCTTCAAGTTCGTACCGCCACGATTCGTTCAGCCTTGAACGGTCTGTCCTTTTTCTTGCACGCGTTCGACAATTGCTATTAACACCGAACCTATAGAGCTCTAAAGACGTCCGAGGCGTGTCGCTTCGTAAAAACGATAAGACCGAATTTATTTAGACGTCTCGCTGCTTTTATCCTAACGCGTGCTTCGATTAAGAAACTTATTCTATAATTTCCAACCTTTTTGTTTCGATCGAGAACAAATTTTTATACTATTATTTAAAAATATCAAATTTACATATCCTCCGGAAATCGTCGTAGAATTTCCTCGCTCGGACACCGAGCATCGTGCGCGCAGCGACACGAGAAACACCGGTCCGCGTATTATCGGGACACCGTGTACGTGTTTCGCTGGAAACGAACGTTCCATATGTTGTAGCCTAATAAGAGAAAAAAAAAGAAGGAACGGAGACGCACGGAGTCGGCTGAGAAACACATTGTACCGGAGGCATGTTGTTTTATTAGGCGGCTCCGATCATGTGTGTTACGTCAATTGCATGAAAATAACGCGGGATGACTCATTACGGCAGAGGCCATTTAAGGAAACGAGAAAAGCGTCCACCGTTCACTTTATCCAAATGCCAGTCGCCTTTTATCGTTGCGCGACCTTGCCGCCGTACCGTAATTTATTAATCGATCCTTAATTCGTTTCCTAGAAAACTGCCGAGTTGATATCTCAACATCGAACTACCGGATGCGCTATGAGTCACTTGATGAACTTTATTATTAGCAGTTTCGGTCGTGCGAAGAGCTTCGAAAGCAGACTTCGAGACTTCGAACCGATCTTTCGTTGTTCCGAATTGATTTTCACGCGGGGCGGGCGGGGTAGCTCTCTCGGGGGGGAAGTCCTTCGATAAATCTGTATTCTAATCGTTGATTAAACGTTTCACAAATGACTGATGTTCCCCACAGCCAGACAGTGAATCGGAAGAGCAACCTATACAGGTGTTCTTACCTGTGAACTGTGGATTATTACGCAACGTATGCTAGAACTCCAGCGATTAGCCGGCGTTATACCGAGAGCCACAGGTAGTCTTTTCGATGTTTCCTTCTACATCCTTTTTTCCTCGGTCTCATCGATGATGTGTAAGCTATTTATGCTATCGACCTGCATTACAAGGTTGGGATCTGCATATTACGTTTGCACGCACGAGACATATTTCCTTTCTCGTTTCCTCCACCGGTTACAGACTTTTCTCGGCCGTCGAAAACGTTTGAACCGTTTTATCTGAGACAGAACGCCGCGGCACTTCTAAGAATCACAATTCAAGGAATTTAGATTATTTTATTTAGAACGTATACGTAACGCTAATATACAGGGTGTTTCATAATTATGTTAACACCCGGAAAGGGGTTAAAGAGATCGTTTCGAGTAACTTCTTCCTTAGCGAAAATGCGATCCGCGGCTTCGTTTACGAGTTATTAACGAAAAACAATGACCAATGAGAGACGAGCTCGCTCGCCTAGTGCTAGACGACCGCTGGTTGGGGCTCGGCCGCCCAGCGCCAGCATATCTCGCCTCTCATTGGTCGGCGTTTTTCCTTAATAACTCGTAAACGAAGCCGCGGATCGCATTTTCGCCAAGGAAAAAGTTACTTCGAATGATCTCAGGAATCACTTCTTTCCGGGTGTTAACATAATTATAAAGCACCCTGTAGTTTTAATTGGACGGAATAAAACTATACTGCTGCGCATTAAATCACGCGAATATTATTCGATGAAACATCCTTCCAGGAAGAATTTGAAACTTAATTAATTGTACGCAGCGTTTCGAAGGATACTCTGAAAATTTCGTTAATGTAAGATAAATTGATTTGGATAATTAGACGCGTTGCAAATTCTATGAAATGTATTATCGTTCGAACAAAACCGTTCTATCGGTTTTCACGTTGTGCAGTCGATATCGAGTACAAGGTTGCTAATATACGAAGAAAAAAAAAAGTCTTTTCATCTCTTTCCCGAGTGCAGTTAGATAACAATGTTCCGGGGAATGATGGAAACGGTACTCTTTTCTTTTTTTTTCGCGGATGCGTCATTGCATGTGAGTTTTACCAGTCGCATAGTTGTATCAATGTGATACTTGTAT